AAATTGTATACAAGAAAATTTGAAGAAAAATTTGTTGTCATTGTTTTTGACTATATCAACGCGCGCTATTTCAACCATAATACTTGTTATCTTATTTGTTCACCGCTATCAAATTCCGTGAATAAATAATTATACCGTATACAGAGTATGCAAACTTGTTGTCATAGACAAAATTCAATTATTAATTTGTTGTTTGTTTCCATATTATTACGCATATTGTGTATAAAATCGCTGGATCTGAAATCATTGCTGCAGAGCAGGAGAGTTCAGAAGCGGCACTCGTTTTTTCGCGTGCAAAAGCATTAGCAGACGGCCTTTCTGAATTGTCTGTTGATTTGCAGGACACGGTAGCTTACCGGACTGCTATGAACGATGTCGTTGAACATCCGAATGTAAAAAAAAGCGCAGATACCATTAGCGCTAAAGTGTCGGACAAAAGTATCCGAGCTAAACAGACCATCAGTTTATCCTCGCAGGTACCATCGCGAAGTCGCGATATTTTGTGTCGATGGTATCTGCAATACAATCTGGTATTCGATCGTGAAATCGTTCCATCAACACGCATTCGCCCAAGCCGAGCGTTATCTGTTTTACTTGGACGTTATTAACATCTTTAAAACGCGATCGTTCAATCAAAAGATTGCATACAATCGACAGATTAAAGATATTGGAGGCAATGTTCAATTCTTCGTCAATCGAGCCATTGAAAACGTGCACGTCTGCCAACCCGTTTTATCAATGGATGACGCTGCTCGATTGACGCGTTTCGATCGATTAATTTAATAAAAATTTTGGCAAAAATATATACAATCTTCTCATTATTATTAAATTGTCCTTTATTATTTTAAATATGATGAAAATTAAATTTTGAATGATGCAATTTTTCAAACGATATAGTGGAAAGTGCGAATTATGTTTTTAACAATTCTGTAAATGATATAAACTGTAAAATTTTAATAAATGATTAAATAAAATGTTTTTGTTTGTTAAAAAAAATTGAATTTTGGAAATAAAATTATAATTTTAATTAAAAATTTTTGTAACAATTTTTAATTTTCTGTATAAAATTGGTAATATTTGCATACAGATTGACTTCAATTAACTCTACTCCTTTTTTATTAATATTGAATCATTAAATATTGATAAAAAAACTCTCTCTCTATCTAACTATCTAACTATCTATCTATCTCTAAACACTGAATAAAACTCAACAAAAATGAGTGATAACAACAACAACGAACAACAGCAAGAAAATAAAAAAATTTTCTACATTGCTGAGGATGAAGAACTGGATAATCTTCATAATATGCGTTATTATGAAGATTCATCTGAAGAAGAATACGAAAAAGACGTCGATG